GATAGAACAATTTCTAAACATTAATGCATGGGGAGGAGTCATTGGAGAAAGGTTCACAACAACTTAATGACTATACTATTGAGGGATTATGTTATATAACATGAGTACAGACGTATTTATAGTTTAAATTTCATGACTTGATCCTCTCCTACTGAATGCTTTCAATGCAATGAAAGTTAGAAATAGTTTCCATGCATCAGGAGATGTAATAAAAATAAAGAAGGCAATGAACTATATTTTAAAATAATAATCACAAAAAATTAGATACAGAATTGATAACACATGTACATTAATGATCATTTCATTGTATTATGATTTGAAGCCACACCCATTTACTCCACCCATCACTGATTAGTTTTAGGATAGGTTTCAATGACGTTGTAGGTAGTACGAGTGAAGTAAAGCTGTGGGTCTGTGAAACCTGTTGATTGAAGAAAAAAGAACAATTCATCAACTGTACGGATATGAGAATGACAGATTGAACGACATCATAGTGAGATCAAGAAATGACTTTAACTGAAATAGAAATAGAGAGAGAGAGGAGAAGGAGGAAAAAGAAAAATAGATTCAAGCATGTACATGTACATACAGTTTGGTCAAACATGTGCACTGAAACTCATAATATTGTGTTTAGTGTACAAGTTTGACTAAATTATATGACCTATCCCTGTACTATGGTACAGGGTCACAGGCTGAACTGCACAAGGAGAGAATTCTCCATTTTTGCTGAATTTTCTGATGCATATACATGCACTTATGTTGAGTAGAAAGTTTGAGCTAATTCCAATTTAATTTCAATTTTTTTACAAATTTTCAAAGATGCTCCAAAATTGCACTAAAGACCCTGTACTACATACAAAGTCTTTGGCTTCAATCTGTCTCTCTCTCTTAGCTTCTCTTCTGCATGGTGGTCAGTGTGTATCATCTTCTCAATAATCACAAGACGACTCTTATTTCTCTTAGCAACTGATTCAACTTTACATAATATCAGCAGAGCATCTTCATCTGACCAATTCTGTAGAATATCCTTTAAAATATAACAATCACAACTGAGAGAGGGAGAGAGAGAGGATGATTATTATTAATAATTATTGTTTTATTGTTCTTACTCAAATTGTGGTAGCTTGTCAGTAAAATTACCATGCAGACACAAGTGAAATGTGTTCCTCAACATTCATACCTTTCACTAATCCCTAATAATTAAGAAGAGAGAATAAACAAAATATTTTTAAGACCAATCATGCAGTGTATTGTAACTGTCAAAGCTAGAATTAATTGTTACTACTGTATAGTGCAAAATTATTTTTGAGGGCTGTAAATTTTGCTAATTTGCTTTAAAATTTTGCAGATTTAATTTTCACAAATTTGTGGTGTCTGCCATCTTATACCGTAAATAATTTGATTTTTGCAGAAATAATTAATTCACAAAAGTTGCAAAATCCATGAAATTTGCAGCCCTCAAAAATTTTGCACTATATTGTACAGCATGTAGAGTGTGTTTAAGATTACAAAACACTATCAGTTCCTCACTTTGAATTATCAATGACATCAGGTAGATCAAAGTTAGTTCTTTTCATCTTAAAATCATAATGAATGAGTATAGCATACAGGAATGACCCCAGTCCACCACTAATGTCACATATATGAGAACAAGATCCCAAAT